TCCTCCACTAGGGTGATATATAGGGTATAATTGATGAACCTACACTGATGTATCATAATTACCCAAAGCCAGTAGTTTATATTAAAGTTTGCTCTTGGTATTATGCATTCTGTGGGTTTGTACAAATGTATAATGACATGTTTCCATCGCTATAGTATCATACAGAGTATTTGTAATACCCTAAAAATTCTCTGTGCTCCAGGGCCTCCCCTGGTGGCGCAGCAGTTGAGCACTGGGCTGCGAGGCTGTCCGCAGCCTCTGCAGCACTAGTTCGATCCCCGGCCACGGGCGAGGGTCCCACAAGATGCGACAGACCGCTCCTGCTGCTCCCGCTGCTCCCCTCAGCAGTGTATTTCATCGGTCTGCCTGTTCTGTTCCCCGCTCTGGCTCTGGTGAATTCTCTTACCCTCCCGCACCCTTCTGACTATACCCAGTGCTTGTATAAATAAATAAATCTTTATAAAAAAATTATCTGTGCTCCAGCTATTTATCCCTCCTTCCATCAACCCCTTTGATATTTTCATTGTCTTTGTGGTTTTGCCTTTTCCAGAAGGTCATATAAGTTGGACTGAAGCCTTTTCAGATTTTTTTTTTCACTTAGGCACTTAAGGTCCCTTCTTGTCTTTTCATGGCTTGATAGCTCATTTCTTTTCACTGCTGAATAATGTCCCATTGTCTGAAGTATTACAGTTTATCCATTCACCTGCTGAAGGACATCTTGGATGTTTCCAAGTTTTGGCAAGTATGAGTAAAGATGTCATAAACATCCATATGCAATTTTTTGTGAGGACAGGAGTTTTCAACTCTTAAGGAAAATAGCAGGGGCTAAGATTGATGGAGATATGAGAAGAGTATATTTAGCTTTGTAAGAAATTACTAAAGTATCTCCCAAAGTTGCTGCACCATCTTACCTTCCCAACAGTGGTACTGAGAGCTCTTGTTGCTCTACATCCTCACCGGTGTTTGGCGGCAGGTGCTCCAGATTCTGGCCATTCTAACAGTTGTATAGTGGAATCTCGTGTTATTTGATTTTGCATTCCCCTGATACATGATGTGGAGCATGTTTTTATATCCTTATTTGCCATCAATATATCTTCTGTGAGGTGTTAAGATCTTTGGTTCGCTTACTAAATTGTGTTGTGTGCCTTCTTACTGTTGAGTGTCGAGACTTCTCTGTATATTTTGGATAATGTTCTTTTATCAGATGTGTTTTTAATATATTTTTAATTCTATACACTTACCCTGGGCCAAATGCTATAGACTGAAACGCCATCTACATTTTAGAACTGAGTTCTATTGTTTCACTAACCCAGCTACTATTATTAGTTTCCTTGTCATCTCCCACTTTAAAGCCAGCAAACAGCAAGTTATGTCTGCTGGGACACTTTTTGGTAAAAGTAGAGGGAAACTTTTGGGCCATTCCATCCCCATTTCGTCCTTTGAACTCAGATCTCATGTCTGGATCTGTGGCATCTGCTTACCACTAAGAGGAGACAGTAAACACACACACACCACTCTAGGTACAGGATAGTAGAAACCTAAAAAGTGAAATTTTGATGGCATTTTTGAGCAACTAAAACATTGCCCAAAAAGGTCATGCCTTGAGTTGTTTTATTTAAGAAAACTAAACTAAACCTGTGTTTTTCAAGCTGCTGTCATATTTTGTTATGTGCTATTTAAAACATTTCATAAAGTATAAAACCCAGTGTTATTACCTTGATTGTATTGAGAGTAACATAATATACATAGGTCCAAATTCACCAAGTTGCATACATTTATAATGTGCAGTTGTTTTTTTTTTTTAAGATTTATTTATTTTTGTACAAGAGCTGGCATACAGGCCAAAGGTGCGGGAGGGTGAGAGGATTCCCCAGAGACTGAGTGGGGAGCAGAACAGGCAGACTGACGAAATACACTGCTGAGGGGAGCAGCAGGTGAGACAGGAGAGGTCTGCTGCACCATGTGGTTATCCCCCTGTCTGGCCGGGATCGAACCCGCGTTGCGGAGGTTGCGGACAGCCTCACAACGTGGCGCTCAACCCACTGTGCCACCGGGGAGGCCCTGTGCAGTTTTTATATATCAATTACACACCTAAATATAGCTAATGGAAAAAAGATATAAAGTCCAAATTGTTCCTCTGAACTCTAGAACTGAGCTGTTTGCCCAGCATTTGCATTTGGATGTGTCAGAAATACCTTAAAGCCAATAAGCCCTTTAGAAAGGAGTGTCATCTCCTCCCTGCAGAAGCGCTTTTCCTCCTCTGTCTTCTTGTTAGTGAATGGCACAGAAAAAAAACTTTGATGTAATTCTTGCTTTCTCACTCTGGCTTTCTTATTCTCACATCAAGATCAGTGACAATTGTTGGCATCACCTCCTAAACTTCCTGACATTTGTCACTTCATTCCCACTGCTGCTTCCTTATTATAGAACATTGTATTTTTTAAGGTGAACTATAATAAAAATGAGAATATATAATTACACATACAGTATACTTCATACTTACGAAGCACACATTTGTCTCCCCTGCCTCTCTCCAGTGTGTTTTCTATGTGGTAGCCAGAGCAGTATTTCTATATAGAAGTTTATGCTGTTGCCCATTTTAATGTTTCCTAAGCTCTCCCTGGTGTTTAAATAAAATTCAGACTCTTTAATACTCCTTACCATGTACTTCTTGAACCCTGCTCTAGCCAACTTCTCTTCCTTTGTTTCTGAAGTGAATTTGACATCTGCCTAGCACCTTGTACTTAGCCCTTTAACAAATGGAACTTAAGAAATGTGGCTTTAATTTTTTTTATTTTCCACCAATCTGTGATCTCCACTGGGCTGGGGATAATATCTCATTCACTACTTTATACCCAGTGCCTAACACTGCCTGGCCCATTATAAGCATTCATAACATGGAGAATCAGAGTTAATGGGAAAATCCCAAGCTTCTTTACAAATAAGTTTCCATAAATAACCATATACTTTAAAATAACTATTACATACTAAGCTAATACAACAGTTCACACCCATTGTACAATTAAATAAAGTTGTATATAAAGATAAAGATCAAATAATCATCCTCTCCTCCTCAATCATTCACCAGGTCTGAGTAATCATTGTATCAGTTTTACTTATAAAAAAGTAGCTTTGTGTATTTTACATAGAATGAATCTGTAGTGGTTTTATAGTGTTACCAATAATAAACTGCTACAAACTTAATGACTTAAAGCATTAAGTATTAGCTTACAATTATAAATGGCAGCATTCCAGCACTGCATGGTTTGATTTTCTAGTTAGGGTCTCACAAGTCCAAAGTCAAGGTGCTGACTGGCTATGTTCTCACCTAGAGATCAAGGTCTTCTTCCAAGTTAATTTCTGTCACATTAGCAAAATTTAGATCCGTGTGGTAGTAGGAGTGGGTTCCCTGTTTACTTTCTGGCTATAGGCTGGAGACCATTCTCAGCTCTTTAAAGCTGCCTGCAATCCAACTTATGCAGTTCCTCATCTTCAAATCAAACATGAGTCTTTGTCATGTTTCGAATTTCTTTAACATCTTCTGCTATCGGATGGAGAAAGTTCTCAGTGATTAACAGGCCCATGCAGATAATCTTGCTACCTTAAGATTAACTGTACCATATAACAACGTAACTGCAGAAGTTAAATCTCTTCATATTTATAAGATCTGGAAAATATAGCAGGATAGTGTTGCAGGGCATATTAGAAATTCTGCTTACCATGGGCTCTTTGGTTTACAATCTATAATGTTCTCTAAATTCCTTCTTTCCACTAACCAAATATCTTAGAGATATTCACATTTTGATTGGCACAGCATATTTCATGGTCTATACTGTTGGCTACTTATTTTTCTGTTGATGGAAATTTCAGTTTCTACTTTTGATTATTATGCAAAGATAGCACAGTTATTAAAGTATACTTGAAAGTATATTGAATTATTTACTCCATAGAAGATACTTCAAGAAGAGCATCTCCATCTATTAAACAAAATGAGCTGTTGACTTTGGGAAAATCATCAGAAGAATTCTTCATAATAGAGACAAAGATAGAGATGGTAGCAGGGATACATCTATACATAGAGAATACACTTTAAAATGGAACAATTTTACATCTAACATTGTTGCTTTTTATTTTGGTTGTCCAGTTAAGATATTTTGGTTGACTTCTGGTTAAAAGTCAGAATATCATGAATGTGTGTTAGGAAGCTCCCGCTGATGCCTCCCACAGCATTGTCTGTGAACTTAGTTTTACATGTGGTTTTTGTTTGTATGTCTGCCTAGCCTACTGGTTTTACTTGAATATATTAATATGTGGAGTCTCATTTGTTTTTATTGCCTTCACAACTTCTTAAACATGGCAAATAAAATTATCATGTAGTGTTTGGAGACTGCTGTCAGACAAGTAGGTCAAATGCAAAGAATAGAAATGGTTATCCTCACATATCTCCCTAAGTTCCCTTTGCCTGCCTACAGGCATCTAAAGGATCTTTATGCACTATAGTTGTTCTCTCTCTCACCATACCAGCTAGCTCTGCCACTTGGTAGCTGTGGGATATTGAGAATACTTTAAAAATATTTAAGAAAATAAATATAAATACAGAAATGCTGAAAAGATAGTACAAACAGTTCCTGCATACAGAGCTAGAGCTCCTTATATTATGTAGCCATGATATTTAGTAAAACCAAGAAATTAACACTGGTACAATATTAATTCTGTTCCAGGATCCAATTCAGGATCCCACATTGTAGTTAGTCATCATGTCTCCTTAGTATCCTTTAGGGATGTTTTTCAAACATACATTGGGGATAATAGATACATACCTTATAGGAGTACGTAAATGAATATAAGTCAAGCATATTAGACAGATTATGGAATATAATATTTACTGGGTTAGAAAAAAATGGGTCATAATATTTCTGTATTCAAATAATTGTGAGAATATGCACTATTTCCTTTGTATGAGTTTTAGAAATGGAAGTAACATATAAGAGGATACTTACGTTTAAATTTTTGATGGTTATAATCAATTTGCCCTCCAAAATGATACTATTTGAATTAGAATGCTCATATTCCTGTGCTCCTTGATAGCAGATTATTATCACCTATTTTCATTTTTGCCAGTTAGTTGTTGGTCTAAAAGTTGTTTGGTCTTTTCCTTTTTTTCACTTTTAATTTGGATCCCATCACTGTATTTTATACATAAATCAGATTCATTATACCTAATAAAAGAAACAAAAAAAATCTCTACATGTATTTTTCCCCTTATTTTCTCTGTGGCTTCTGTGATATCTAAGGCAGACAGAGCTTCAACTACCAAATATTTATTGGCAATTTTAGTAAAACTATCTAGAGTCCATATTTCTTTCTTTCTTATATGTTGTCCTATGTTTCTTCCTATATGTTTGCTTCTTATATGTTTTACAATGCAACAGTAGCAGTGAATTTTAATATTTTACTCCTATAAGTTTCACTATTTCATTTAAGATATATAACGAAGTGAAATCCTATCCCTGAGAAAGTGCTGAAAGCAATGGTAAAACGAAACTGGATATCTGGCTGGTCACGAAACAGGTTTTGTGGCAGGTCCTTGAACAACATCATTTTGTTATAAAGTTGAGGAGAAAAAAATATGATCCCTGACGTGGGGGCACAGTCTGTGGAGTTGCATGCCCCAAGGATGTGCACGTTAGGCTCACTGGTGTCTCTAAACTGACCCAGTCTGAGTGAACAGGAGAGTGTGTGTGATGTGCCCTGCAAGGGAAGGGCATCCTATCCGGGTTCTGTCTGTGCTGCACCCTGAGCTGCCAGGATAGGCTCTAGCTGCCTGTGACCCTGAGCTGAAGTAGGCAGATTGGAAAATAAGCAAGTTATTATAAATGATTGTTTAATGTTTTCAGTCTTTATTTAGAAGTTTTTGATGTTTTTGTGACAAGAAATATAGGAAATTTTGTTTTAGCAATAAGCCTATAGTAAATTGGTTTCATTCTATGTTGTTTACACTAAATCTGTTGATGACATTGAGGACTTATTGTATGATAGGAGTTTGAATTTATTTTCATGTTAACTGAAAGCCTTTTTAACTCTTTTAAGAAAAAGAGCAGGAAAAGAGTAGTATATTTAAGAATTAATTTTGAGGCTATGGAGGGGAAGTGAAGAGCATGGGGTGGGGAGGGAGCCCAGTGGACTAAAGTGGAAGATTATGGGTACTTTTGTAGTAGGTATGGTATGATTGCACCTGAAGAAGTATGAACCTGTATCCCTAAATCATAACCATGTTGTAAACCAGTGTTACTTTAATAAACATAATAAAATTAAAAAAGAAGCGAACTCAGCCCTAAATTGTTCTCATGATATAAATCTGTGATACTTTATAATTAACAATTTATTTCATAATGGAGAAAGTATTACCTTGATACTACGATTAAGGTGTAGTACTCAAAAGCTGAAAATATTGCCCCAAATTGCAGACTCAGACTCAAATAATAGAGCTGGTCTAATACTAAAACTTGTTACCGTCCCCTAGTTCTAGGTCATTTGGGATTGGCAACAAGGCTGTAATAGAGGTAAATGAAGCTACTATACATATGGAGAGTCTCTAAGGGGCTATTTCTGTAGATAACAGTAAAGGATGTTGAACCCGTGAGCCTAGGCTATAGAGGTAGATATTGAGAGAACAGATTCAGAAAACATCTAAGAGAATCACCAGATATGCAGATTATTTGAATATTAGAGAACAGAGAGATAATACAAAGTGGCATCACATTTCAGCTTGGGTGATGGAATGGCAGGTGATTGTTATCAAGATTTTAAACAATTCAAAAAATTTTCCTCCCTTTGGGAGGCAGAAATTATTTGATTAATGTTGGTGTTGAATTTGAAGTGACCAGCCAGGTAAAGACACCTAGCATGAAGTATCTAAAGATGATGAAAAAGATCTGATTCCTTACACTGGTAGAACTGATCACATTCAGAAAATATATGGAGATAAATGGGTCATGGCTATACCTCGAGAAACATGAATATTTAAGGCAGGGGTTCACTGAAGGATGTATGCACCCCCTGAACTTTCTAGCATTTGTGTGGGGGGGTCTTGCATCCCATTTTATAAATAGTGTTTGCAACTAGGGCCTCCCTGGTGGTATAAGGGGTTAAGCACCACACTACGAAGAAATCTGCTACCACTGCAGCACGAGTTCAATCCCCGGCCGGCCAGGGAACTACACACATGGTGCAGCAGACCTCTCCTGTCTCGCCTACTGCTCCCCTCAACAGTGTATTTCAGTCAGTCTGCCTGTTCTATTCCCCACTCTGGTGAATCCTCTCACCCCTGCCCCCCACATCTCTGGCCTGTACCCCAGCTCTTGTATGCATAAATAAATGAAGCTTTAAAAAATTAGTGTTTGCAATTGATTAGTTCCTCAAATGGGTGTTGGGAGTTGTAGTCCTCCATAGACTGTAAGTGTCTTTGCCAAATTTGTGAGGGTTCTTGCCTAGCTTACTTGATATGATGAAAGGAATTTAGAGAGAGACCCAACCAAATGTTCAAGCAAGGAACGCTTTTGTGAATCACACAATAGGAGAGGGGTGATAACTGCCCTCAACCTTGCTGGTTATGCTAAGAATGCAAGGCCATTCTCTTTTTTAGGGTTTGGTTAGCAGACTCTTTTTTAGGGTTGGGTTAGCAGAAGTAATCTCGAGAGATAAACATGCTTACTGGTTGCTTGGAATACAAAGGAGGATACCCCAAGCTCAGGGTGCAGTATAAGTCACTATATGTAGAACATCCATCTGGGCCCCTCCATAAGGCTTTGGGGAAAGGAAGGTCAATACAACCAACCTGATGCTTATAGGACTTGTTGTTATGAATAATAAAATCCTTTTTCATCATCCATGAAATAGTAATGTGGCTAATTTAATAACTTACTAGCTTTTATGTGGGGTATGTGTTTTTAAAAAGTTTGAATATGAGGGCCTCCCTGGTGGCACAAGGGGTTAAGCTCAGCACTGTGAAGCTATCCGCAGCCTCTGCAGCACAAGTTCGATCTCTGGCCAGCCAGGGAGCTACCCACATGGCACAGCAGACCTCTCCTGTCTCGCCCGCTACTCCCCTCAGCAGTGTATTTCAGTAGATCTGCCTGTTCTGTTCCCCACTCTGTCTCTGGTGAATCCTCTCATCCCCCAAAGCTCTGTCCTGTGCCCCTGTTCTGGTATGTATAAATAAATAAATCTTCAGAAAAAAAGTTTGAATATCAGAAGCTGAGACTATGTATAAGCCTGACAAGTGATGTAATATGAGAGTGATCTTGTGGAAGCAAAGGATATGGGGAGTTATGAAGGGAAAACTAACAGGAGAGAAGATAATCCCCCAAGTTTATAGGGTTCAAGTCTACAAAGATTGAAAAACGTTAACTGAACTTGACAATTGAGTTGTGGAAGCCCATTCCGAAGAATGGTGTGGGCAGTAAACTCTGAAATAACTGAATCACTGGTTCTCAAACATGTATTGTAGATCTCAAAGACTCTTAAACTTATAAACTATTAAGGACTCCAAAGAATATTTGTGTGTGTAGGATATATTTATTGGTATTTATATATTAGAAATTAACACTGAAATTTTTTAAAATAATGAGTTATAAGAAAAACTCATATTTTAATGTAACATGATTACAGAAAACAATTATTTTCCCAAACAATAAGAGTGGAATTACTTTACTTTTTTTGTAAATCTCCTTAATACCTGAATTAATAGAAAACAACTGTATTCTCATATTTGTTTCAGCATTCAGTCTGTTGTCTGTAGTACTATCATGTCTTCAGGCCTCTAAAAACTCCAATATGCGAGAGAGAATAAGTAAAAAGGGTAAATAGTGTTTTGTTTGTTTTGATTTTCTACTTAATTTTTTTTTATGCATCATCATAGGATAGAGTGAAGCTATTGGCTATTCGAAGACAGGATAGTGATCAGTCTTGAACAGGGCTGAGTGAAAACTGGAAGGGGGTGAATAAAGGCTTTTGGGGTACTGATGCTGGTACTGTGTCTTGATCTGAGTGCTAATTTCATGACCATAATCAGTAAAAATTAAACAAGTATATGCCTGTATCATTCCCACCTTTACTGTATGCATGCTATATACTTTTGTAAAAAGTTAAAATATTTATTTATTTTTGTGGGACCCTTGCCGGCGGCCAGGGAATGAACCGGCGCTGCAGAGGCTGCAGGCAGCCTCGCAGTCCCGCGCTCAACTGCTGCGCCACCAGAAGAGGCCCAAAAGTTAAAATACTTTAAAGGAATGCAGAAATTCTAGCCTTCTTAATCTCTCTTTAAATTTTTAAAAGACAGTAACTTTATCAGTCAGCTAAGATTGATGCAGTTTGACTGGCAGATGATGACTGCAAATGCCATGTGTTTGTGGAGTTAAAATTTATATTTACAGTTAATACCAAAAAAATCTAACTTTCTAAATAGTTATGTTTACACTTCCATTTAGTTACAAAGTGAGTGTTTCTTAGGTGATGAGTCATTTCTGTATAGCTGAGAGTTAAAATGATTCATTTCCCAGGTCTGTCAGTGTAATTTCACCCAACCTTCAATTTCCAGTAAACTCCTCAATTCAGTCATAATTTCTGTACTGCAAAAGTTTCTTAAAAGGTCCACTTTTGGCTGACTTAATGATTCTCCATTCACTTCAATGCTGTAAAAAGATATCAATTTATCAGCTCTTATCTGTTTTCTCCATTAATTCCAATGCCAGTATGAATATGTTGATGTACTCTGAGAAGCTGCCAAAAGTAACTTTTAGTATGACCAAGGAAAGTTACCCGAGGATTGCTTTTCTTTGCTGTCTATGATTCTCTCTTAGTTTAGACAATTTGCGGGAACGTCGGCGCCCATCTTCAGGGCACATATAAAGCTCAAAGTATGCAGCACTTACACTAATGTGCTCCCCTGGTAAAGATAACAAATGTGTCATAACTAATAGGCTATTGTTGTGGTTTAGTCAGATTGAATATGTGTAACACTTTTTATGAATGTGCTAAAGGAGTGATTACTTGAGTTACTGCGGGTGTCAGGCCAACGCTACTCCTCCATATAATGTAGAACCAATATTTCATAGTTTGTAACAAAATAAGCATTACTGAAAGTAAGAGCAACTTATTCAATGCCATTATCATGAAATGAACTAAGAGCCATACCGTTGGAAAAGTATTTCAGCAAAGCAATTTTC